ACCCGGGGTTTGAATCCCAGCACCTACAGCAGCTAACAACTCCAGTTCCAGGGGATCCAACAGCCTCTTCTGTCCTCCACAGGCATTGCACAGCATGGGTGCACTTACATACATGCAGGCAGTGTACTCATACACATAAAATAAAAATAATAAATAAAATATTAAAAAATAAAGTGCCGAGCCATCAAGGAAGACACTTGATTCCAGTCTCTGCCTTCCACACATACATGTGACACACACACACACACACACACACACACACACGAGAGAGAGAGAGAGAGAGAGAGAGAGAGAATCATTTTCTTTATCCTTGTACTTAGACAAGTATCTGGAAACGTGGGGTCAGATTACCAGGCAGTGGAACAGGTCTTCCGATGTCCCTCGTAAACCAGATCACAAGCCAATACCCAGAATTCCAGAAGCCTTGTGTAGATATATCACTTTGGTTTACAGTAAGGAGAAGAAAAACCTTAACTAGTAGGCAAAGCACTTGGGTTCTAGATGATGCCTCCTTGTCTGGGGTGAGCTTGAATAAGTCTCTCTGCTCTGGGTGTCAGAAGTCCAGCCACAGAGCACAAGGGGTTAAATCTGGTCATCTTTAAGGCTCTCTGCTCTCTGGCTGGTATGTTGTAATGCCGGGAACTCAGAATAACCACTTCCAGGTTATTTAGGGTCAGGGATTTTAGAACCTGTATTTAGTGTATAGAACTTTTATCTAGTTAATTTAATTTTTTTCTTCCTGAGTCTTATTCTCTTCCTCTCTCTGCGAATGTATACATGTGTATATATGTAAATGTGTATATTTCTCCTTGTTTCTATGTGCATTCAAATACAGTTTTCTATTTAATAGCCCCTTTATCATTGATAATAAAATGTTTCCTGAAGGATATGTCCTAGTTAACTTTGTCAACACAGCCTAGTGTCATCTGAGAGGAAAGCCGCACTGGAGGAATTTCCCAGATTAGACTGGCTTGGATGCATGTCTGTGAGGGATCGTCTAGATTATTAATTGATGTAGGAGGGCCCAGCACACTGTGGGGAAGCACCACCCCTAAGCAGGTGAACCTGGGCTGTATAGGAAAACCAGCTCGGCATGAGCCTGTGAGCGAGCCACCAAGCCATGTTCCTCCAAGGTTCCTGCTGTGCTTCCCTGGCTGTGAGTGAGGTCCCAGCTTGAAGCTAATGCTGAGTGGAATGACAAGCAGGCCCCCCTTCAGGTTCCTGCCTTGATGCCTCAACGACGGACTGTGACCTGAAGTCAAATAAATCCTTTTCTCCCCAAGTTGCTGCTGGTCATGATGTTTGTCACAGAAACAGAATGAAACGAATATAGAGAGTATTTTTTCACTTCTTATTTTTATTTTTTTTAATTTTATTTCTTGACTTCCTTTTTAAAGATTCCCCAGTGTCTATTCTGTAGAGACAGAAGTTTCACCACCTTTTAAGGCTCACCGCCTTAGCCAAAGCGTCCTCATTCTTCCGGGGGTCTAAGAGTTTAATGTCAGGCTTCCTCCCCAGCCAGGGGCCGCTAGAGCTGCGTCCACAGCCTCAGCAGCCAAATCTGTCTTGTGTTATGTTTGGAGCTGTGTTTGGCATGGGTGGCTCTGGTGACAGAGCCTTTAGGATCAGCTGTCGCAGGACCAGGGAAATTAGTGGTCTTCTGGGTCATTGCCCTGGCTTCTACCCTTGTTGATCTCACTGGCTTCCTTAGGTGTCAGGGTGTCAGGAGGGAACAAAGTGGAGCCTGAGCACCTGAGCCCTGTGAGACCTGCCTCAGCGGGACACCAGAGGCAGAGCTCCACTGCCAGAGGCCTGGAGATTTTTTAATCTTAAGTGGGTCGTCTTTACGGTGAAGTCAGAGGAAATGTCACACAAAAGGTGAACATTTAGCTGATTTCTAGAGAAGTTGGCAGAGAATGGAAGGCCTGAAGTCCCAGACAAGCAGGGGGAGCTGACAGGTCTCTTCAGGAAACTTCCCATGAATGAAGGAAGCCCCAGACCAAATGTGGGGGGTGGGCAAGGGGGGTGTGATTGACAGGGCTGCAGAGGCAGAGTCTGAGCCACTTCTAGCCTGAGGAGTTTGAGCAGTGCCTGTGGAGCTGTGATTGCCTGCATACAATAGGCTGGGGTCCCCAAAGTCCACTGTATTCATTTCCCAGGGTTGTGTTACTCTGTACAACTAGGCCAGTGGCATGAAACAACAGAAGCTCATTCTTGCATATTTCTGATCTATGGGGACTGGAAATCAATGTGTCAGCAGAGACATTCCTCCCAGAGGACTCTGAGGAAATCGGCCTCCCTCTAGCGACATGGCTGCCAGCGATCCTCAGCTTCCTTGCCCGGAGGTCCTTGACTTCCATCTCTACCTCTGTAGTCACTGGCCATGCTCCTCCTGTGTGGTTCATGCGTCTTCTAATAAGAACACTAATCATATTGGATGTAACACTCCCCACCTCAGTCCAGTACAGCCTCTTCTTATCCTCACCTGCAAAGTGATTCCAAATAAGGTCACATTTCCAGGTGATAATTTCAACACATCTCTCTGTAGGACACAATTTAACCTGTAAGCAACCCACAGCTTCTGACTTGGGAGGAGGTGATTCATGAAGGAACTGCTCCCGGGTGAGACTAGGAAGGGCATGAGCATCAGGCAGGGCAGGGCCAAGCCTGCTATTGCAGCGAAGTCCCTCAGGGTGGCTCCAGTCTGACTCCACATGGCCAGTTTGAAGGGCAAAGAATCCATTAGAGGTGCCTGTCCCTAATGCAAGAGCTGGGTTAGGGCTTCTGTGCTAGGCTGAGCAGGCTCAGGTGACTTGAGGACAGTGCTCCAGAAGAGAGTCACTAACAGATGCTAGTCACTGGAAGCCAAGGTCCACCATCAGCCCCGGGGTCACATTAAAATGATGGAAAGGAATTTGAGGAAGTCTGGGTAGAGAGTCCTTTCAGTCAGCTGCTTTACTGCCTACTGCTCGTCCTCCACCCCCTCTCTCTGCCCCACACACCCTACAGGGCCTTAGACTGCTTCTGTCCTTCAGAAATCCCATCTATCTATCTATCTATCTATCTATCTATCTATCTATCTATCTATCTGTCTATCATCTATCTATCCATCATCATCTATCATCTATCGATTTATCATCTATCTATCATCATCTATCTATCATCTATCTATCATCTATCTATCATCTATCTACCCATCATCATCTATCATCTATCGACTTATCATCTATCTATCATCATCTATCATCTATCATCTATCTATCATCTATCTATCATCTATCTATCTACCCATCATCATCTATCATCTATCGACTTATCATATATCTATCATCATCTATCATCTATCATCTATCTCATCTATCTGTCTGTCTATCATCTATCTATCTATCTATCAGCTACCTATCATCTATCTCCTATCTATCATCTATCTATCTATTTATTTATCATCTATCTATCTATCTATCATCTATCTATCTATCTATCAGCTACCTATCATCTATCTATCTCCTATCTATCATCTATCTATCTATTTATTTATCTATCATCTATCTATCTATCTATCTATCACCTATCATCTATCTATCAGCTACCTATCATCTATTTGCAACTACCAGTTTCTACTTGACACTGCTGAGATCTACCCTTTTCTTACCCTATTATGTTTTTCCCTCATTCTTCCTCATTTTCTATCAGATTTTTTCGTAGACAGCAGTAGCCAGTCAGAATACTTTACTTTTGTGAGATAAACTGACCAATCACAGCATAATATTTGAACTTTTATGTCTTAATTCTTTTCTGTGGTATCACTCTGTTGTTGCCTCATGGATCAAATTACGTTACCCACAATAGTGACATTATTGTTTACAGTCTCAGAGTGCTTAATTGTGATGGCTAAAACTAGTTGGAGGAATTCAGGGCACTACAGACTGCTCCTCAACTAGATAATCATAATTACATCAGTGATTTAAGTGAATTAACTTTTACATTTATTTTTAAAGTATCAGCAAATACTAGCAAAAGAGCCATAGCACAATAGGTGTGAAGCCAAGGCAGAGCATCACACTGGGGAGGAGCCTTGATTCTAGTCCTAAACCAACATTTGGATGGCTCAATGACCTTGAGGTATCTGTTGACCTCTTTGTTTTGGTTCCTTATCTGTGGTGTTGGAAGCCTGAATTCAAGGCTCGTTGGAAGTTATAATAGTGTGTCAGTCCATAGATAGAGTCCAGAATCTACAATGTACACAGTATTTAAATGTGTGTGTGTGTGTGTGTGTGTGTGTGTGTGTGTGTATTCATTTGAAGAAGCTTGAACCTGTCTTAGGTACTTGGTGCTGGGGCTACAGAGGGAATAAAAACCCAGCTCTTCTCCTACATGAACTCATGAGTCCAGTACAAAAGACACCAGGGCAACAGGAAATTATAATTCAGTACCAAAAAAATCACTATAAAAGATTTCTATCTCAAGAGAGACTCAGACCAAATGGGAGGGATGACCACCATTGTCTGGTTGAGAAGCCCTTGAGTGAGATTGCAATGGAATTTCTCTTGAGTCAATCTAATAGAAGTGTAACAGGGGGCGAGATACTCATCAAGATTGGAGCTTCTGACCTATCTTTATCAAATTGGCATTATTCAAACAGCTCAGCTTCGTCCTGATTGGTTCAGGAAGTTTCAAAAACACCTGCGGTCTAAGCAGGAGGAGCATGGGTTTGACGCCACCCTGGACTGTACAGTGAGGTTCTGCCTCAAAACAGAAAAAGATAAATAAAAAGGGTTATCAAGGGAGACTGTAGATCAGGCATTTAGCAAGCTCTGAAATGGAAGAGGGAGCCGATGGAAAAAGGTGAGCATTTTCTAATCTGTGGGTGAAACTCCCATGATTCTCTGACCTTGTACCCCACAGGGGTGGGATGTTGACAGAGAACTCGATCTGTCCCGTGTGTCAAATGGAACACAGGTGACTGCTGTGCTGATGGATGACTTTCTTCTCTCTCACAGTGACCCTTTCAGCTGCTCCTCCCTCCTACTTCAGAGGCTTCACACTAATTGCCCTTAAAGAGAACCGAGAGGGAGATAAGGAAGAGGATCATGCTGGAAGCTTCCAGGTAAGACCCCACTGGGCTTTTCCAGTGGCCCTTTCTGCCCCGGTGGATAGAGGCTAAGTGAAAGGGGAGTGTGTGTAGGATATATAAACAAAGATGCAGAGGATTCTGGGGTGGTTTCTTACGTGCTTCCCTGACTATGGTCCAAGCTCCATTAGCAAGACATAATGGAGTTGGTGGCAAAGGTTACAGATCTGCCCGAGCAAACTTGGTCACCGGGCAGGGTTGGTCTCACCCTGGCGGATACCACTGTGGGCTCTGGGCTCTGGGCGCCCTTGGCAGCAGCAGGCAGTCCGGTGTGGGGAGAGTGCTCACCCTGGCTCAGCCTTGCTGTTTCCCCTACACAGGCATCTTGTGATTGACTGGTAATTCTCAAATGTAAATGGAACAAGAGTTCTGGGCAGCCAGGCTGCAGGAAGTTCAAAGCCCAGGAGAGGGATATTAAGTGAATGTGGAGATTGATTTATGAGGGAAGATTAAAAGAATTACACATGATTTGCTTGGCTAACTGAATAAGGCCAAGTTTAAGAGGCAGTAATCGTCTTTGATTGGCAGTCCTTGCAGACAGAGCAAGATCCTCAAGGGAAGGCTGCACTTGACTTTGTACAAAAGTGGGTCAGGAGAAGAAAGAGCATCTCAAAGGCAAGGCCCAACAGTGAGCCATATTTCATGGTGGAATATTCTTCCAAGGGAAGTGGCAGAAACATCAGCCCCTCTCCAAAGCTTTCTTAGAAAGGGGCCAGTGAGTTGTCAGAACACATCCCGGGAGGGCTGTGGTGATCCTAGGGTAGGCCCTGACCACTTCTTGTCTCCAATTTCTATTCTTCTGGAATTCATTTCTGCTTGGCATTCACGAACTCAGAAGAGAAAAGTAAAGACCAGGAAGGATGCTTGCACTCAGAGCTGGCTTCTGGGGACTCTGGTAGAATGTGTGGGCTCCTCAGAGGTCTCTGCCCCAAACATCTCCATTCCTCAGTGTCCTTTAATACCTTGGGTTCAAGGTTGTCATCATATATTACATCTTGAGATTTTAATTTTTTCCCTCTTTTCAAAACATTTATTTATCTACATATTGTGGTGTGTGTGTGTGTGTGTGTGTGTGTGTGTGTGTGTGTGTACGCACATATGCACATGTGGAGGTGAGAGGACAACTTGCAGGAGCCATCTCTCTCCTTCCACTGTGTGGGTTCTAGGAATTGAATTCAAGTCATCAGTCCTGACAGGTAATGCCCATTCTGATGACCTTCCATGGCCAGAACTTCTCAACAGGTGTCCTGGTTAGTTTTGACAATGACACAAATTAGAGTTACCTGAGAAATAGGAAATTTAACTGAAAAATTTCCCAGATGGCCATGTCTGTGAGGCATTTTCATAATTGCTAATTGATGTAGGAGGGCCTTGACCATTGTGGGCAGGGCCATCCCTAAGCTGGTGGTCCTGGGCTGTGTGGTAAAGGTCCCTGAGCAAGCCAGGTAAAGCAAGTCAGTAAGCAAGGTTCCTCCATGGCCTCTGCTTCAGTTCCTGCCTTGAGTTCTTGCCCTGACTTCCAATGATGAACTGTAACCTGGATGTGTAAGATGAATAAACCCTTTCTTCCCCAAACTGCTTTTGGTCAGAGTGTTTAATCACAGCAACGGAAAAGCAAACTAAAACAGCAAGCATCTCAAAGAGTGACCCAATAATACTGCCACTGCCAGCCAATGCCTACTGAGTGCTCGCCGACTTCCAGGCACTGTGCTAGGTACCGTCTGTCCCCTTTGTTCATTTGCTTCACCTTAGCTTGATTCTTTCCCCTTCTCTTGGGGCTTCTGACTGGCCGCCTGCATTTTAGCAAGCTTCCAGATGAACTTGGGGCCCTCTGGGCATCAGTACCATGGCTCTCATGGGACACTGAGGAGCCCAGGTCTCCTCCATATGTTGCTGTCTATCTTCTCATGGTCCCCATCAGTCCTGAAGATCAGTAGGTAGGAACAGGAAGTGCCTAATCCACAATGGTAGTGGTTGGTAACAGTCCTCAATGCACCAGTGTCAATTACTCTTTGGAGTGGTTTCCATTCATTAGCTGACCTGATCCTCAGAGCACCCCTGTGAGGTAGCATTATCTGTTCAAACAGCAGAGGCATTGGGGGATACAGAGCAGTTAAGTAACTTTCTGAAGGCCACCTAGCACAATAAAGCTGGTGTTCCAGCCCCAGCTCAGAGTCCTGTGTGACTCTTAGGTTGCACCTGTTAAATGCACAGAGGAGGCTTTACCTGTGGCTTTTTTTTTTTAATGATAGCAGAATCTGTGCAGGGTGCCTGACATTATCTAATTCTGCTTATTTCCTGTGGTAACTCTGAAGTCAGGGTTGGTACCCCCATTACTCAGATGATGAAACTGAGTCTCCAAGTCACCAAAGCAAGCCGACATCTCAAGGAGCCACATGCTGCGTCAGTTTCTTTTTCCTTCAAGTCTTTACCTTTGTCCCTCCTTTTACCCTTAAAATGCACACTTGGCTTTGTTCTCTTGGTCTCCAAGGTTAAAGGGGGAGATCACAGCCCAGGTACCTAGCTTACCTCTCTTGCGCCCTCTCACGAACACATTGAAAGCCGTTGTCTTTGAGGCATTCATTCATTCATTCATTCATTTATTATTTGGCATCAATTACTGGATGCTTCCTTGTGCCACCACATTCAGCACTGGGGACACCATGGTAAGATGAACCGAAATTGTCCTGCCCTCATGAAGCCTACTGTGCCTGCCTTGCAATTGTCCCACAGATCAACCTCTGCTGTTGACAGGTAGAACAGACATGTCATCTGGTAGAACAGGAGGAGACAAATTATAGGTGCCACTGTCACTTTTGAAAACAGTGATTAACAAATAGCGAGTTGCACCTTTTTGTCTATGACAACTCTGAGGACTTAACAGCAAAATTTGGGTAAATCTAGGCAGAGGTTAAAATCCTAGTTCACAAGGGGTCCAAGATGGATTATTTTACTTCTAAATGGCTGAAGGCTTGCCCAGAGAACACAGACTGATCCGGTGTGTACAGAAAGCTAAAGCAGGGTGCTGGCTCACTTAGTAAGGACAGAAGGGGGAAGCAACGTTACCCCGACTCTTGCAGAGGTCCCAGAAGAAGGGCGAGGTCCCCTCTGTTCCAGAAGTGGGTTCCATGGTGGTGACATTGGCACATGAGGGTGGTTGGCTGCCAGAGAGGGAGGGACATGGGGTCTCCTTATGAACTGGCTGGGTATACAAACTGGCTGGGCATACGAGCGGGCTGGGCATACGAGCGGGCTGGGCATACGAGCGGGCTGGGCATACGAGCTGGCTGGGCATACGAGCTGGCTGGGCATAC